TCAGCAAAGGACAAGAGGGATCCTCTCACCTCTGCAGGAGTCTACCGTATACCAGGCAGCTGTGGACAAGTCAACTCTATAATTACAACAGTGAAACAACAGAGAGTAAACAATCAAGCACAGCAAATGACCTCTCAAAAAAAAAATCCCTCCAGGCACTTCCAAGCCATTAAATGCTACTTCCAAACAGACCTCACTACTTCTGAGGATGCTTGCCATAGATGCAGGCGAAACGTCAGGAGAAAATATGCCTCTAGAACATGGCCATATAGCCCAGAAAAACCTACAACAACCCAGTGATTCTGGCCATGAAAGCCTTCGACAATACTTTAAAACCATTTAGATCCATTGCACATGCCTAATAAGCATATATAAGTATAGAAATTAAACTTGGATCCATTTAGCTGAGGGGGTCAATGTGAGTATTGTACATTAACTCTTATTTTAAAAGGAATTATGTCTTTCTCTGAGTAGAGTGGGCAAAGGGCGGGAACGTAAGTCTGTCCCGGGAGAATTTAAAAGAAGCACCAGTCCCACCAACTCGTGCAGCTGTGCATTACTTCTGGCCTTTTTGAATGCCTAGGTAGGGAGATGATGGTAGTAGCCAGGCACAACTGACTCAGAGATTGCACTGGCCTTCCCACCCCTGAGGTGGCATCCATGGGTCATATCAAAATCCATAGTTTTGACCCCAAAAATTGCCCTCAACTCATACAGCAGGTAGGAGCCCCCGGTGGCACAGTGGGTTAAACCCCTGTGCCGGCAGGACTGAAGACCGACAGGTCGCAGGTTCGAATTCGGGGAGAGCACGGGTGAGCTCCCTCTATCAGCTCCAGCTCCTCATGCGGGGACATGAGAGAAACCTCCCACAAGGATGATAAAACATCAAAAACATCTGGACGTCCCCTGAACAACGTCCTTGCAGATGGCTAATTCTCTCACACCAGAAGCGACTTGCAGTTTCTCAAGTCGCTCCTGACATGACAAAAAAATAATAATACAGCCAATCAAACTTATACATGAGTTCCTATAGCAGTGTTTCTCAGCCTTCCTAATGCCGTTACCCCTTAATGCACTTCCTCATGTTGTGGTGACCCCCAAGCATAACATTATATTCATTTCTATTTCACAACTGTAATTTTGCTACTGTTATGAATCATAAGGTAAACATCTGATATGCAGGATCATTCACTGGACCAAATTTGGCACAAATACCCGATACGCCCAAATTTGAATACTGGTGGGGTTGCGGGAGGGGATTGCTTTTGTCATTTGGGAGTTGTAGTTGCTGGGATTTATAGTTCACCTACAATCAAAGAGCATTCTGAACTCCACCAATGATGGAATTGGGCCAAACTTCCCACATAGAACCCCCATGCCTTGAAGGGACTCACTGGTGCGAGCCTCCCTCCAGCCTCGCACGCTCTCCCCCGCCCACACATGCTCAGCACACTGTCATGCGCCGAGCACACCTGCTCTCCCTTCTCCACTTGGCTGAGAGACCGGCCAGTCACAGCAGAGGAGGGCTTTTGATGGGAGGAATTCCTGTTTCCAAAAAGGAAGAGAAGGACAAGCTGAGAGATCTTCAGCCTTCTCTGCCAAAGGGGTTCCTAAGACCATCAGAAATATATGTTTTCTGGTGGTCTTTGGTGACCCCTCTGAAACCCCCTCATGACTCCCCAGGAGTCCCAACCCCCAGGTTGAGAAACACTGTCCTATAGTAATCTGCATCTATAGTGACCTCTCACTTGGACAGATTCGATGAGCTCACTCTGTGCTGTGATCCTTCTAACTGCTGATGTTACTTATGACAAACACATTGAAGGAAGACTCCCAGGAAAAAACAGACACCCTGGAAATGATTTCTAGCATTATGACACAGAGATCTAGTTCTCAGCCCAACCACACAACCTCAGGCTGTATCACAGAGACCTGCCAGCCCAATCTTTTCCTTTCAAACAGCAGCTTGTCACGCCCTGCTCACACCTTGTAGTGCTGCCAGGTGACAAAGAAGTTGACCGACCCATCCTGCCGCCGCTGGAGGACAGTCCAACCTCCTCCATCATACTCCTGGTCACACCAGGCCTGGATGATGCCCCGGGCACCCGTCGGTTGCAGCATGGTGATGCCACTGGCCTGTCCATCCCGTTGAGCAGCTTGACAGTCCTGCCAGGGTCCTGGGGCCAAGAGGAGAAAGCAAGAGTTATTATGCATTGAACAATGCAAGTATATGGATAAGAAAAGGGTAGGCCTCCAGATGTTGCTGGATTATAATTCCCATTGGCCTCAGCCAGCACAATCGCCACAAAAGATGAAGGCAATTACAGTCCAAACACATTCCCCAGTCCTGTGTCAGTGTCAGGTTTTCCATTGGGGGGTGGGGGGCAATCATAAACTCAACTATGGGTCTCTTAACATCTGTTGAGGCATTCCTCAATAGGTTTCCCTTAAAGCGCAGCTTATTAGGCTTCTGCAATTCAACTAGAGGGCAATCCATTTTTGGTATCCAAATTTCATTGTGTAGCCAGATCTGTTTTCGGGAGCCTCCAGAAAATCGGCTATAAGAATGGGGTTGAACCAAAAAACTCCTTTATGGCTGTGCCCATTGGAAACAGTACTGAGACCAACTACTCACATAGAATCAGTCATCATGGATAATGGCTCTAAATAATGAGTTGGCTAAAATCGGCCTGCCTTTGCAATTTCTGAACCATCTAGGTCCTAAGGCAAAACAAGTGGTCATGTAACGCACTCGAAATATCTATGCTCAACTGGAAGAAGAAGAACTGTATTTTTCTACCCCGCCTCCATCTCCCCGAAGGGACTCGGGGTGGCTTACATGAGGCCCAAGCCCAAGGCAGAATACAATTAAAAACAAAGCAAAACAATTTAGACAGCATAAAACAACGTTTGGCCAGTTTTCAATCTCTCCTTTTTGGGCAAAGTCTTGGAACGTGTGGTTGCCTTGCAGCTCCAGGGATTCTTGGACGAAACTGATTATCTGGATCCGTCACAGTCCGGTTTCAGACTGGGACATGGAACTGAGACAGCCATGGTCGCCTTAGTGGATGATCTCCGCAGAGAGCTCGACAGGGGGAATGGGTCCCTGTTGGTTCTCCTGGACCTCTCGATACCGTAGACCATGGTATCCTTCTGGGGCGCCTTGCGAGGATGGGTCTTGGAGGGAGTGTTCTGCAGTGGCTCCAGTCCTTCCTGGAGGGTCGTACCCAGAAGGTGTTGCTGGGGGACTCCTGCTCGGCTCCACAGCCGTTGTCCTGTGGGATCCCGCAGGGCTCAGTATTGTCCCCCATGTTGTTTAACATCTACATGAAGCCACTGGGTGAGATCATCCGGAGTTTTGGAGTGCCATCTGTACGCAGATGATGTCCAACTCTATCACTCACTTCCACCTGATGTTGTGCCTCTTCTTGTAGTCTGTCTGCACGATCTTCTTGCAGCAGCTGAGGATGTGCTATTGTTTCATCTGCTTCCTTGCAGAGTCTACATTTGGGATCTGTTGTCGCCTTTTCAATTCTGGCTTTGATGGCATTGGTTCAAATGGCTTGTTCTTGGGCTGTCAGAACCAGGTTCTCCGTCTCCTTTTTCAGAGTTCCATTTGTGAGCCACAGGCATGTTTTTTCTTTGTCAATTTGGCTCTCAATTTTTCCCAGGAACTGTCCTTGGAGAGACTTCTTTCGCCAGATTATTATTATTATTATTATTATTATTATTATTATTTACTAATTTTTTATTTGGTATAAAGAAAGATGTATAGGTATATGTTGTTGTTGTTGTTGTTGTTATTATTATTATGTAGAATCAGGAACTTATAGAGAGTATTTTATTAAAGAAAAAGAGCAGTGGAAATTCAAAGGGAGAAAGGAGTTAGGAATAAATTACTGCTTTTGCTTCTATCAATGACATGTGGATAGGGTTTTCAACTAGAAAATCAGAGAGAACATTTTGAGAAGGGTACCAAAGGCCAAATCTCCAGACTATGTACTGTATATACTCGAGTATAAGCCTAGTTTTTCATCCCCTTTTTTAGGCTGAGAAATCTCCCATTGTCTTATACTTGAGTCAGTATTATTTACTATTTTACTCTGTTATTAGTATTATTTTTATTACATTTACTAGCTGTCCCCTGACACGCGTTGCTATGGCCCACATGGGGGTTCTGTGTGGGAGGTTTGGCCCAATTTTATTGTTGGTGGACTTCAGAATGCTCTGTGATTGTAGGCGAACTATAAATCCCAGCAACTACAATTACCAAATGTCAAGATTCTATTTTCCCCAAACTCCACCAGTGTTCACATTTGGGCATATTGAGTATTTGTGTAGCGTTTGGTCCAAATCCATCATTTTTTGAGTCTACACTGATCTCTGGATGTAGGTGAACTACAACTCCAAAACCAAAGGACACTGCCCACCAAACCCTTCCACTATTTTCTGTTGGTCATGGGAGAACTGTGTGCCAAGTTTGGTTTAATTCCATCGTTGGCGGGGTTCAGAATGCTCTTTGATTGTAGGTGAACTATAAATCCCAACAACTACAAATCCCAAATGACAAAATCATAATTTTTGAGTGATGGTCACTCCTTGTGTTGTGAGACGTTTTGTTGCCAAATTTGGTGTGATTTCGTTCATTGGTTCTTTTGTTTTTAAGGTACTCATTATGCACAGAGCATTTATATATATATAGATTATTTTACTCTATTTATTATTATTATTATTATTATTATTTTACTCTTTATTGTTATTATAACATTTATTATTTTACTCTATTATTGTTATTATTACATTTATTATTTTTCTCTTTATTGTTATGACAACATTTATTATTTTACTCTATGTATTATTGTTATTATTACATTTATTATTTTCCTCTCTTATTACTGTTATTACATTTCCATTATTTTACTCTATTATTATTTTTATTACATTTATTATTTTACTCCTTTATTATTATTGGAAGGATATGTAAGCACATTTACATTGAAGAAGGTTAGAATAATGGTTTAATCAGAGTTGGACAGCTTTATCTTAAATTACAATTTTATATAAATATTTTTGAATATTTACTCTATGGATGCCTCAATTAATGTAATTTTATTGGTATCTTTTTCTATTTTGAAACTTACCAGGAGCTGCTGCATTTCTCGCCCTCGGCTTATACTCGAGTCAATACATTTTCCCAGTTTAGGTGCCTCGGCTTATATTCGGGTCGGCTTATACTCGAGTATATACGGTAAATATTTTAGAATATAACTCAGAAGACAATCGAATAAAAACTGTGATTATTTCGTGGGCCAAGGATTTAGGGAGAAATGATGATTTGGAGCATTGGGAACATCTCTGGAAAAGGGGATTACATTTTCAATGGTAGGTAGTAGTCCCCTGACATTAAGTCCAGTCATGTCTGACTCTGGGGGTTGGTGCTCATCTCCATTTCTAAGCCAAAGAGCCGGCGTTGTCCGTAGACACCTCCAAGGTCATGTGGCCGGCATGACTGCATGGAGCGCCATTACCTTCCCACCGGAGTGGTACCTATTGATCTACTCACATTTGCATGTTTTCAAACTGCTAGGTTGGCAGAAGCTAGTGCTGACAGCGGAAGCTCACACCGCTCCCTGGAATCGAACCTGCGACCTTTCGGTCAACAAGCTCAGCAGCTCAGCGCTTTAACCCACTGCGCCACCGGGGGCACCTCATTTTCAATAGCTGATTCAATTAGAGATTGTATTTCCTAGCATCTTTCAGTCCAAAAATATTCAATTTCCTTTCTGAATCCAGGAAAGGAGGACAGAGCTGTTTCTTCTCCAACAAGACCTCATATGTTTGAGAGGAGTTGCATTTTTTGCTTTATGGTCCTCCTTTGCTACAAAACACTGTCAGTAAATCACAAGCATTCCTCCAACAGCTGGATGTTTCATGTTTAGCCAAAAACTCGGATGCACCAGGTCAGAGAGCAGGATAACGTGGCAGAATAATGGGAGAGAAAAGGAAAGGACCATGTGGTTATGTTTGTGAAGACTGGGCTTGTGTTTATTTGGCTCTGGGCTACAGCTGGTTCAAAGGAGAAGCAGGAGGCCCCCAAGGCAAATCTGGGAGAAGGAACAATACATATCATTATGTGGTAGAAAATATGAATGTAACACGCTCTCTACTTTCACTGGGTATAGAGGCACAGGATCTCCATAAAGGTGAGGAAACCACAAATAAGAAACCTGAGAGAACATTTTCATAGGTCCTCCAGTGCAACTCTATAGTCAGCATCTGCAAGAAACTGGCTACATAATCCCACAAATTTATTTATTTATTTGGTAGCTTTGTATACCGGTCTTCTCACCTCCATT